TGGGTGGGTTCAAACCACCAACTTTTCAGCTAATAATGGAGTTTAACTGTTTACACAACTCAAGGACTCCATGTAATAAGACTATGGACACCACTCATCTGTCAGTTTGTCATATGGTGGCTTGTGTGTTGCTGTGAGGCTGGAGGCTATGCCACTGGTATTTCAAATACCAACAGGGCCACCCATGGTGAATGGGTTTCAACAGAGCTTTCAGATTAAGACAGACTCAGAGAAGGAAAGGGCCATCCACTTCTCAAAGAACTGGCCAGGGAAAACCTAATGAACAGCAGTGAAAAACTGTCTGATATATTACTGGAAAACTTTAAGAATAGCCCTGAAACATTGTCCAATATAGTGCCGGAAGATGAGCCCCTCAAGTCAGAAGGCACTCACAATACAACTGGGGAAGAGTTGCCTCCTCAGAGTAGAGCCAACCTTAATGATATGGATGGAGTAAAGTTTTTAGGACCTCCATTTGAGGATGTAGCATGACTCAAAATGAGAAGAAACAGCTGCAAACATCCATTAATAATCAGAACATGGAATGTATGAAGTATGAATCTAGGAAAATTGGAAATTGTCAAAAATGAAATGGAACACATAAAGATCAATATCCTAGGCATTAGTGAGCTGAAATGTACTGGTTTTGGCCATTTGGAATCAGACAACTGTATGATCTACTATGCTGGGAACAACAAATTGAAGATAAATGGCATGGTGTTCATCATCATGAAGAATGTTTCAAGATCTGTCCTGAAGTACAATGGGTCAGTGATATGCCTACAAAGAAGACAAGTTAATAATACTACTATTCAAATTTACATACCAACCACCAAAGCTAAAGATGAGGAAATTGAAGATTTTTACCAACTTTTGCAGTCTGAAATTGAGCAAACATGCAGTCAAGATGTGTTGATTATCACTGGTGATTGGAATGCAAAAGTTGGAAACCAAGAAGAATCACCAGTAGTTGGAAAATTTGGCCTTGGTGACAGAAATAACACTGCAGATCACATGATGGAATTTTGTAAGACCAATGACTTATTCATTGCAAATACCTTTTTTCAACAACACAAACAACAGCTGTACACATGGACTTCACCAGATGGGGTACACAGGAATCAGATCGACTACATCTGTGGAAAAAGGCAATGGAGAAGCTTAATATCTTCAGCCAAAACAAGACCAGGAGCTGACTGTGGAACAGGCCATCAACTGCTCATATGCAAGTTCAAGTGAAAGCTGAAGACAACTAAAACAAGTCCATGAGAGCCAAAATATGACCTTGATTATAATCCCTCCTGAATTTAGAGA